AGAAGTCATGGCCTTTAATAATACTATTTCTCATTCAATGCAATTGTAATAGAGGTCTTTAACTTTCTATTGATTACTTTCACAATTATACATGAATCATCCCAAAGAATCTTACAGTGAAATTACCTGGACCCCAGAAAGGATATAGAAATACTCATGATGTTTGAATGATAGAACAGTAAATGTACCTCTCTTTTAGAGGTTGTATTACCAAAGTGAGAGAAGGATTTGCAAATGTGTTATGTGGTTATTAAAAATTGACTTCATGATGCCTTTTTGAAGAAGAAAAAATGTTGGAAGTAGTAGATGCTGAAAGGAGAGCTGATATGTATGCAATATGGTTTTGACTGCATAGATGATCTGTATGCACTAGATGCAATAAATGCAAACTACTGGAAAAGCTACTGGAAATGACTTTTTTAACACAGTAAAAACAAACAAAAATAGGTCTGTGAAGGTTCTCAGTCATCCAGGTCATCGTAGTCAAAGGAGCTTTGACCATTAGCATTAGCAGCTGTGTGTATTCTATAATCTTCACTTTGATTTCAGACTTCTGGGCCATCTGGAAAGGATTGGTCTTCTTGCATATTAGCGTCATTAGGCATGTAGTAAACAATCGCATGCATTTACCTGTATTGCCCTGCATTGGCAGAGTGTTATTCTTTGATTTGTTGCGACAGAAGCAGAACTCTAAAGAGGCTGTTAAAACTGAATATAGGAGACTCCTACTTGATGAAGAAAGTCTAGATATTTCATGTGAAACTGAACAGTCAGTTTGAAGTTCGTTGTGAAATTGAATTTTGTTCGATTCAGTTGTAAATTTTGCCTAGTAATACTAAAACGATGCTGTCGTTTGAAGCTGTTTTTAAGGCACCTTTTAGAATTTGGCCTTTATTTTGTTAGTGGCATAGTGACAGGAAATGAGGGAGGTAGACCAGCAGGATAACACACAGCAAATGACCCCAGGGAGATATTTGATCAGTGGTTACATCAATAAAGGGATATGCACACATGTGGTATATACCCTAACCGCTCTGCTATTGGAACCACAAGAAGCATTTCAACCCATCTCAACTCAGTTCTCATCTTACTGTACAAAGAAGGCCAAGGTTAGGTGAAATACATGCCCATTCTTGAGGATCTCTTAGTTGTGCTCACCCGCTTGTAGTTCATGCTTGCTTTCACAGAAACAGTAAAGGTTATTTCCTTTCTGATAAGTCCAGCCAGTCTGATCAAATGCTGTGTGAAATCAGTTTAATTCAGTTTCCTCTTGAAAGTTCAGTGAGCTTGGATCAATGATACCAGATTATTTCACAGTAGGACCTTGTGTTATCAAACATCTAACACAACACTTTAGCACCTGTGCCGCTGCTTCCAGCTCTGCCAAATCATCCAACACACACGCGCGCACACACACACACACACAAGTAATCCCAGGACTTACACTCCTTTGAATACCAAACAGCAATGCATTCGTTCACTTCTATTTTGCTTGGAAGCAAACAAAGATACAGTAAAGCTCTGCAGATATATAAATGGCCGGACTACTTTTTGTCGCATTATGGTGGCACTTTTTACAGTTGTCCTCCAGCTAGTCTTAAACAGAATCATAAAACAGCAGGGTACTGCTAGAGAAAAATTATAAATATCCATTTATGAGGCTGAAACTTGCTCGGGACTCAGTAGAGATATAACTGTCTGAACCACACCACAGAAACATCTGGAGCGTGTTGACAAGAGGACCTTAACATCATACAGCTTGAGGGTCAACACAACTGCCTGATTCTCATCAACATCATAATTAGCAATATTCTCAATGAAAAAGTAGTACTGGGCATAAGTTTCAATTCTACTCAGATTTTATGAATGAAACCTGATGGTTTTGTTGTTTTAACAGAATAAACAACTAATTCTAGTAATTGAAGTTTTATGAATCCAGTGATTGTGTAAGCCGAATAAAAAAATATTTTCATTTTTATTCAATAGGACTACACTTTATTTTTAACCTCCTTCAGCATGGAAAATGTTAGAGAAAAAAGCTGATTTTCTCCACACAAAACAGCACAGCAAAGGACCACGGTGACATTAGGCAGGGGAGACTGTTGCTCAGTATGGCCTTTGGCTGTTTAATGAGACAGAACATTTGGCCAGTTGTGATCTGGCTGTTTTATTATGTGAGCAGACAACTGCAGAACCCATTTAGCAACCAAATACCTGTGGATTTGATTTTGACAGAGCTGTCTGCTTCTCCTCTGTCTGTCTCGCTCACATAATCACTCAAAGACATGAACTGGACCAAAGGATTGGATTCAACAATTCTTTAAAAGCCGACATGTAAAAGTTTTGCTCCAGTCCAATTTAAAGCATATAGATGGGCTGACTTGACAGGACTTTTCATACATATACATATGTATGTATGTTTATGTATGTATGTATGTTTATGTGTGTGTGTGTGTGTGTGTGTGTGTGTGTGTGTATAATATATGCATAATATATGTGTATAAAAATATATAATTTGGAGTCAATGAAAAGAGCAGTACTTGTCTTTAAACACTGATTTTGTGTGCGTGCTTGATGGTTTCTGTCACACGCTGTCTCTTAGGTGGTTAAATCAAGTGACAGTTGAATTTGAGAAGGTGTTTCAAAAAAATGAAAGTCAAAGTCACCCCCTTTCAGTTCCTTCAGCAAAAACAGTAACACAAGGTTTTTTTGGATGCCGCACAAAATGTCTGCAAAGACAGATGTTGCAGATGTTCTTTCTCTTGACATGTCTTAACTCTCAGTGACGTTTGTGACATCAAAGTACACAAGACTAAGAATCAAAGAATTCACATTTATATAAGAATAAACGCTTCTTTTTTTAAACACAAGTGGTACTGTAGATCTACATCAGTGCATATACATGGATATATAGAACAATGATAGTTGAACGCAACTTGAATATAACCAACTTGGAACAGGTTAGTTAATCTTTAGGCCTAAAAAAAATGTTGATATAATAGCATTTTACCAGTTCAGGTAATGTCTGTTCACAAATTATCAGTTGTTATCAGTTATTACAGTTGTTTAAAACAATCATTGCTCTAGACTATTGTCTGTTCCACTGTGATAGCCTGTCTTCTATCATTGTAGTGTATTTGATAAATGAGCCAGTTGTCTCAGTGTTTGAACTGTTTTTACGACAAAGAGTGATTGAGAGCAATTCTACCGATGAAAGTTAAAAGATATAGATTGAAATCTGAAGCAGCAGAATGACAGTTCTGATAGGCTGTTAGCTGATAAACCTGTCTGTTCCCTCTGAGAAACAGAATGCTTGCCCATACCATGTGGTTCAGGTTCCAGCTGAAGTACCAATATTCCTAAAAGACTTGTTAATGTGCTTCGGGAATGATGCAAAACAAGATTACACTTGAGCACTGAAGATGTGGCAACAGAAGAAATGGATTCCTCAAGACAGTGCAAAGTAGCCTCAAGACTGTTTATATTGTTTTTCATATGACAGCTGTTAATAAAAAGTGTTTCAGTTAAACAAAGATGGTGTAAATTTAAAAAAACAAAAAATAAGATTTCAGAAGGCTATCATTTTGATTATGTAGATTAATATAGATCATGGATTACTTAAGATTCTTTCAGTATATTATCAAGTATATGTTAGTATATTCAAAATTTCATTTCACATGACATAAATGACAGGTTTCATTCATTATGTTTCATATCATAAACTCAGAATCCCAAAGATTCATAAAATAGGTTTTTCCTATATTAGAAAAAACTATTTTATGTTAACACATTGAAGCTAATCATTTACACCAGCTTGTGCTCAACATATTATCATGTGCAAGAACATTTCTCTGAGATTCATTTTCCATTCATTTAGAGCATGATTCCACTCTTGGCATGACTTCAGAACTCATTGCCTCTTTTTATGTGTAGTCTGGGATTTTAAAAGATGTAATATGTTTTTTTTAAGCTGATACAGTGTATGTGCAAGGTCAGTATTAAGTAGTATTAAACACATAATTTAAAGTATGTGGGGAAAAAACATCATTTTCCAAAAAAGAAGAGGAAAAGTTTAAATCTCCCTGTGGGGCTTTGATTCCCCCTTTGTGTGGACTGTTCAAAGAGGTAGCTGAGCCGGACACACAGGGGGCTCTGCTGTCGGTGCCTTTCCAGGAAGACTGATGATAGGCAGCAGCTTGAATCTGGCAGAAACTGAATGGACGCAGTGGCACAGAGAGTACTGGACATGTCTGTAGTGATTACATTCTGCTACAGAAGAAGTTCAGGGGTCAGGCTGACTGTGTACCGGCAGCTTGCTGCACCAAACTGACTGTATTCCCAGCACTGTGCAGTGCTATCTCCTTATGATGCCTCAGGCTAGCTCTGCAGGTTCACTGCCACTCTGTTGAGCCTTCTCAGAATTTGATAATCAAAATTAATTCCCTCAGTGCTCTGACTGCACACCTGTGTAGCTCATATTATTCCATGGAGATAACAGTTGCAAACGCAGATTTCACTGAAATGGTTCAAATTTACAGCATTAGCCATTAGCCATCTCTGCTTAAGATAATCAGCTAGTTAGTGGTAAAGCCAGAACAAGAAAATTGAAGCCAGACTCTTGATCCTGTCTGAGAACTATTTTCAGATCATTTTGACAGCATTCATTCAGTTTAAGAAATCGAAATAACCAGTTCAAACCTTAACCTGTTTTATGAACATCTCTCAATAGCACGCAACACAAAGAATAATGCAACAGCAACAAAACCAGCTTCTGTGTGAAAATGATCATGTTTAAAGTCAATCTTTAAAGTCAGCAGTTTTTTTAAACAGTTTTAAATATCATACTGTTTAAAATTTCAGACTTCAGAGGCTGAATTTCTTTCTCACTCAAACGGAAACACTTTTGGTGGTTGACAAAATGAGATTCAAAAACGAGAACCACTTTAACATAATTTTAAATACCTGGGGATGCTTGTGGAAATGTTTGAAGAAGGACTTACCGTCCTCTCGGGACTTCTGAATAAATGCATCAACCCCGCTTTCTCCATAGTTTCCCTCTGAAGCGACAGTAGAGACATAGTTCCAGTTCATAGCTTTGACAATGTCCACCATCGCCTGTGCCTGGTATGTGTCTGGAGGCACCACACGGGAAAAGAAGTCGTAGCGGGTGTTGTCACTCAGCTCTGGAGCTGTAGAAGCGTAGCTCACCTGAGGGATCTGCGAGAGAGGAAGAGAAGATCAAGAAATGTGATGGTTATGCATGATGAAATATATAAATAATATACTTTGTGCAAATTAATTATATATACAGCAAAAAGGTTCCACACAGTTTTGTGTACAAAAAAACAAACTGCTGAATAATATGACACCTAACATCTGCTGATATCTCTCATGTACTCATTGTAGATTATTCTCCCTCGGCAGTTCGCACACTGTTGCTTTAAATAGTCCTGATGATCACAGGCTTAGCTGCAATACTTTCTGAAAATTATTTTCCACACCAGTCAAGCAACACTAATCTCTTCATGACTTCACAGCAAGATTTATTTTGGTGTTGAAAAACATATAAGCACAAAAGCAAAGGTGTTGTCTCCAGAGCTGAAATAATACCCCATGTTCTTGTCAGTTTCCATAAAGATATTATTGTTTCTTAGTAATGATTACCATATTGTTTCCTAGTATAGTTTACAAGTAGAAAACGAGATGTGGGTGTAGCTCAATAGAGGGAAGATAATCAAAAGGAAGTCAAGTTCATTATTGTGATGGAAACAGCTTTGGTTTATCTTGAGATAGTTATTAAAAGAAATGATTATGTTCTTTAATAAATATCCTTTAAAACATCCAGGACACATAATAAGAGCTTATACTGGCAAGTGCAATTTTCAGAGTCTCTACATGCGTCTCTTCCGAAATGTATCTTTGTTCTTAGTTGCATTACACAAGTCTTTTTGCCGCCTCTAGCAGAAAACTCTTCGTCTCAACTTTTGCTTGCTCAAGTTATTTCAGATTTGTGGCTGTCATAGCTTGTGTGATCTTCTTATAGGATCTGTGCTGCACAGTTTGAAAGTTAACTGACCAGATTTTATGGCATTCAGTAATGTGGGTCCATTTCAAATATGGACACTCTTTTAATGTTGCTCCATTTTTCCCTCATTGTGATCGAATCGGCTTGTAGATGCAAAAAGCATCATTACATTTGCTGAAGGCCAAAACAGTGTTTAATTACATTTTCCTACATCCAGTGCCAAAGTAGAGCGCATGTCCTAAGGTCAGCTCTGCCTATTTAAGTAGTCGTAATACAGGAAGTATTTTACATAAAAACCCCACACAAAATGTCAAGATAATAAAATAATACACAACCAAAAGATCCGAATGTTGACAAATCAATGCGATATTGCATAATTTTATAATTATAATAAGTGAATACATTTCTATTGTAATAAAGATTAACTGCAAAAAAACATTCATTTTCAGTGACAAGTTAGGAGGTAAAAATATCTGAATTTGACTGACACCTGAATAAAATGTCATTCTTTCCAAATACTGTTTGAATGCTATGCTGGGGTGCCATGGGACCTCAGCGTAGCTCTGGGGAGTCTAACAAATCATGACACTCTTGAGCATTCCTAATGACATGAAAGGATGCACAGATGGAGGGATAACCTGACACCAACCACTTAAAACCATGTAATATTTAAGAACATAAATTAGTTACTGCTTTAACTTAATGATAAGATAGCTTTTTTTAAATTGTTTATGTTAAGAAGTAGGACTATAGGTGGATAGTTATGTTCTGATGCGCTTGTGTTCTGACAGTGCTACATGAAAGTAAACGTTACCAGCTGAAAGTCCTGTTTTACCAATATTTGCTCCACAAACTGGAGTAAGACTGCTGTGGGAGTCATACTGTCCCTTCCTCTCTCCCTTACTTCCCACAGCTGAGGCCTTTGATGTGGTCAGCTGCAGCGTTGCACTGATTCTGCTTCCACTGTGCGCCCTGCTTGTAGCTGCAGCCTGTGCTAGGAGTACAGCTGTTCAATCTGTGCCCGTGACCTACAGCTCCTTGCAACTCATTTTACTCCACAATGACTTTACTTTTGTTCGTTTGTTTTTTGTTGGTAAAACTGGAACGAGAGGTGCCTTAAATCTGTACTTAAGACTGTATTCTGTGCAGACCTGGCTTTAGGAAGTGAATTGTGATGCAGCAAGCGAGCCACTCAAAACAGCCTTGTTAAGTTGATTTTCTTCAAAGAGGAGAACATGCAGAAAAGGGAAGTCTGTGTTGGTTTATAATGGACTGTCTGTGTGTGTTGCATGTTAGCCTCCTGGAATTCATTTGTCCTAAGCTATCACACTGTGTCTTGTCTTCAGAGCATTTCTATGTCACTTGTCTTGTGTCAAGTTAGTATTGCTTGTAGAAACTGCCCTGCCTCACAAGCTCTGATCACTGAATAAATGTTAGAGACTAACATGCGACTTACATGTGTTTCTGCCCTGTTGTAGTATTTGGCTATTGAGTCTGCACCCTGCAGACTGGCAGCACTTTGTTGCTGTAATATAAGCAGGTCAGTGTACTTTTAACCACTAAGTCTGTTCTCTTCTCTTTTTTTCCACCTTTGTGTTTCTCTCCCTCTTGGAAAAATTAATCGTGTGAATCATATTTTTTTTGTCTCTCACTCTTTTGACGTCATGAGACGACAGGCGAGATTCAGCAGGATGAAAGTTAAGTGTTGTACAAAGGTGTTTGGAAGGTGTTAATGATGCCTTGTTTTAGATTATTTTAGTGCTCTAACATACAGCGAAAATGAGCTTTTTAGCCATTCACACCCCAAATTTGCTCCCCGAGTCATGTGTCAGAGTGATAGATGTTATATCTTAATAATTTTCCTAACACAGTATGTCCTTCCAGAATAAAATATGAGGTGATAACACATGTATCATACTGCCTCTGGCATCTGCCTTATAGTATCCTGTCTCTTTTAAGCTCGTTTTCCAGATGTTTCATTTAAAACTCAGATTGCATCTAATCAACCATCTCCTGCTGACATTTATGGCCGTACCTGCTATTTATGCTTATGCTGTTACTGTATTTTCCAACTGATGTTCAGTCTTCTTAGAAGAAGCTGACATAAAAAGCTAATTTTCTAAAGATAAAATGCCAATTTTGAAGCTAATTTGCTGAACTGAGGAAGTCTTATAGCAGAAAACAATAACATATATGGATCTTATGAATGGTATATGAAAATTGGATTTCAAAGAAGGTCTTTTAATTTTGCTGTTCCCATGTATTGCAGTGATGTTGTGACATGTCCAGACTCATATCTGCCAAATAAGTGTGAGGTGCTGTGAAGCTACGCTGTTGTATTTTTCACCTGAGGGATTTTCACTCCTGTAACAATCACACAATTTCAGCGTTCTGTCAAGATTCAGGAGAGGCAGAGCTTATCGTGTTTGTCTTGCCAAGATTTCTTGCTCACTGGACTACAGCGATGGTCCTGAACAGTGTGCTCCCTCTAATAGAACAGAGTCGCTTCTTAGCATCCGCTGAAGAAATTAAATTCTTCGGCACAGGTGCCGCCTGATGTACCTCCAGTGAATCAAAGATACCGGGAGAAAAAATACAAACGTGATGTGTGGCGCTTTGATGGGGGTTTTGACGTAAGAAAGGGGTTTGCTCTGAGCAGATGAATTCAGCATGGATTACTACACTTGTAAACACATTCAGTGATAAAGATCTTAGTAGGTTGTTTAAAAATGACTTGGTTCTAGTAATGCTGTGTACACTTACCATCTGTTCAGGCTGAGATGAAAGCGGCTGAACTTGCTGTCCTCTCAGATGAGCTTTTTGTGATTCAGTCAGTATAGGGAATGCCAGTACATTATTCCCTCCTCTCCAAGTTTATAGAACTCTTTTAATCAGCACATACCCTACCCCACCACTATCCATTTAATTTCTAATGGGCTTAGGAAATATGTTTAATTGCTGTGATGTGAGTCTCAAGAAGATATTTGATGCAGATTTAATGTTCAAATCACTTGCTTTAAATAACTGTGCCTTTTTAAAAATTCAATGAGCTCATTTGGCACTGCATCAATGCAGGAGTAATGATGCTCATTAGAACTGTACAGAAATATTATACATCTACAGTGTTTGCTGTGGGAAGAAAAATCAAAAGCTTTAGTCGGGCTTTGGAAATGTTTCTGCAAATACTTCCTATGAAAATGTAAAAGGGGTATATTTTTAATCTATGAAAGCAGAAAAAAGGTTTCAGTTCACAGGAAGAGTCCATATTTAGGATTGGTGTTACTGTGTACGAGGTGTTGATGTATTATTAAAATGTATTTTCACTAAGCGAAGAAAACAAGAAGAGTAAAATAAGATAAAAAACAATGGTTCCAGATACATTTGCAGGTTTAACTACTAAGTTCAACTAAAAACATCCGTCGTCTAATTAACTTGTCACCAGAATCCTATGAACAGTTTATGTTTACTTAAAAGGTGCAATAGATATTAATTAAATGAACACTTATATTCATGATATAATATGCAAGATTTAATGATGTGTAAGCTAATTTTCTTCTTCAGTGTTAGTCGAGTCAAACCTTAGCAATCGAGACAATGAACAACAGGCCTCTCAAGCCTTAAATGATGCGTGCGTGGTTGCAATGACTTATTTTTCCAAAACTAAATACATTTTTTCACTATAAAACATGACAAAAAAGGTGATAAACCTTATGTAAGCATGCTTGGTTCATTAGCTAATGGACACAAATCCCTTAGAGCTTGTGTCAGAAAGAGCAATAAGTATGTAAAATGCATGTATGTACATGTTTATGTATGCGCTGTGTTGACCTCTTATGAACAAGGGAGTGGCTGAAACTAGCTTCGTAATCAAAACCAAGGCAATTCTTATAAACTAGCAAAACATGTACTGATTAAAATAAGAAAATAAATTACACTAATTGAGAACAAATATATTTGATGTGTGGGAATTATGATTGGAATTTAGAGTATATATTGATGTAATGCATATCTACCTAGAAAATTAGTCTAAAATATATTATTATGGCATAAAAAATTTTATGTAATTCTCAGACAAGTTTTCAGCTATCTAGCTAGATAGCTACAGCTGATATAATCTGATTTTCATTTTAGGCCTCGGTCACACAGGCCATGAGACCCTTTGGAAAAACTATGGCCAACCAATCAGTGTATT